CAGGTTAAAATGTATCAGTCGGTTTTGCCGCCAGATGTATACCTTCAGCCAAGTTGTAAAGAATCGGTCATTTGTTTCGACGGATAAAAGTTTAGAAAATTGTAACCCTTTGTGGGTGAGGTACCAGAAGGAGTTCACAGATATATGTATATCATCTTCAGAACAGATCTTGTGTTAGCAAAAATGTTTGTTTGTGTGTGTGAAATTTGAAGAGAGTTGGATGCTTGTTTCGCTTTCTTTGAGCGTTTTTCAAAATCTTGAACCCTACATGCAGGAGGTACTGAGGTACTACTAAATGCTTCGATCTCTGTTATATTTATAACAGATCTTGTGTTGATGGAAATATTGAGATGTACCAAGTCTGAATGGAATCGAATGTTAATTTCGCGTTTTTTGAGCTTCGTGGATATTCGAAATTTTGACCCTTTGTGGGGGAAGTACGAGAAGGAGTGGACCAATATATTCCATCTTCAGTAGAAATAATGGGAAATATGAAAAATTTCGGATTTTATGATCGCTTTGGTTATTCAAAATTTTGACCCTTCGTAGGGGAGGTATCAGAAGGAATAGTTCGATCTCTATCATCTTTATAACAGAGCTTGTGTTGATAGAAATATAGAGATGTGCTAAGTTTGAATGAAATCGTTTGTCAAATTCGCGATTTATGAGCTTCATGGATATTCGAAATTTTGACCCTTTATGGGGGAGGTACCAGAAGGAGTGGACCAATATATTCCATATTTTCACTAGACCGTGGGTTAATTTGTGGTTAATTTGAAGACAATCGGACTCTTACATCACATTTTATAAGAGTAATAATTATTCAAAATTTTGACCCTTTGTGGGGGAGGTATTTGATGGAGTAGATCTATGTTGTCCATTTTCGCACCTGACCTAGCACTGATGCACATATTAGGATTTGCAAGGTTGGAGCTAAATCGGATTATCCTTTCTCTTTCTGTGCAAAAAATATATTTTTTGAAAATTTCGACCTTTTGTGGGGGAGGTACCAGAAGGAGTGGACCGATATTGTCCATCTTAACACCAGACCTTGAGTTAATATAAATATTGGGATGTGTGAAATTTGAAGACAATCGGACTCTTACTTCACATTTTATAAGATTGAAATTATTCAAAATTTTGACCCTTTGTAGAGGAGGTACTTGATGAAGTTAACCGATTTTGCCCATTTACGCACCTGATTAGCACTGATGCAAATATTGGGATTTACCAAGTTGGGGCAAAATCGGATTATCCTTTCTTTTTCCGTGCAGTAAAATATTTTTTGAAAATTTTGACGTCTTTTGGGGGATGTATCCGAAGGGGTGGAACGATACTGCCCGCCTCCGAACTCGATCTAAGTTTGATATTAATATTCCAATGTACGAAGTTTGGACCAAATTGGATACTACCTTCGAGAGTTATCGTGCGCACCAACCAGCCAGACAGACAGTCGCATGAACGGACGGACATCGCTAGATCGACTCCGAATGTCCTGAAACGGATTTGGCCCAAAAGAGACTTAGGGTTTAGAATCGTTATTTGGATGAGGCACGTTTTGGCCGTATTAAATTATATATACCCTCCCTAGCCATATGGCTGAGGGTACACCCAGAGAAAAAATGACAACATCCGTGTATGAAATGACCACATCCGTGTATGATAGTGTATCAACCACGTTTGGTGTCAAAATGAGCACGCTGTTGTCATTTTGACACCGAGATTTTGGCAACGATTTCAACAACAGATGTGCATGAAATGAGCACATACGTGGTCATTTCGAGCACGCCCCGTTGTCAGATTGTCAACGCTTCGTTGTCAGATCGTCAACGCTTCGTTGTCAGATTGTCAACGCTCCGTTGTCGGATTGTCAACGCCCGTTGTCAGATTGAAATCAATGGTGGTCATTTTTTGATATCCGTTCCTTTTCCATTTTATACCCTTAGTAGAAGAAACGACATTTTTTGAAAAGTATTTTATTGAACGAAACCAATTACATAAATTCAATATAAATACATATTTGATTTAACAAAACAATTCGAATTACATATATTCAATGTATAGAAACAAATTAAATTAACTTAAATCTGAAATAAACTTTTCCATTATTCATAGGATATAAGTGAAATGGGTAAGTAATAAAATCTAAAATTGGTATTAAAAAAATTGTATCCTCATTCAGAGAACCAACTTCATACGATTGTAAATGGTAATCAAAGTTTTTAACTTTTACTTGGTTACATAAAATGTAAACATTTTCATTTTCAATTATTAAATGTTTAATTTTGAAAAGTTCAATTGCGGCATTATTTGTTGCTAAATAATAGTTTTTTTTATACCTAGTTCCCTTAAAAAAAATGTCATCATTTTGTAAAATTTGTAAAACAGGTGAATTTAGGAATTTTTTGGAGTTTTCTAATGTCAAATCTAAGAGATTTGGAATTTTAAAAAGGGCACTTATCATGAATTTCAGTGGCATTATATAAATATTGGATAACTTTGGACCTAAACTGGGATTTCCGCTGATAACAATTTCCGAGACTTGATTGCTAATTACATAAACCTTTGGATCATCATAAAAGTTTAGTTCTTTTAAAATTTTTAAAAGTCTATATTCCGTTCTAGTTTCTTCGAAAGGATTTTTACAAAAGTTTAGTAAGTACCTTAAGTCTTCATAATTTGGATGATCAGTTATATATTTTTCAATTGTACATGAAATGGATGAAAGCAGAATTGAAACAGAATGTTGTATTTCTATAACATGATTTCTAGGCATATAGCTTTGACCATGTAATTGTAAAGACAGATATAAGGTTTTCTTTTTCAAAACATTTAAATCCTTTTCTATTGTATTGTTGTTAATAACAGTTTCACTGTTTGTATAATCATTTTCTTTTGATGATGACATTTCAACTGGCACATTAATGGCTTTAACCATTGGTGGAGCTTTTGTGTGATTCTTGTGAAGTTTTTCTAAATGAATTCTGAATGACGTAAATTTTGTAAATGTTTGCTTACAGTTGTCCTGAACGCATTGTACTTTTAAAAATTTAGTGGACATTAAATGGTCTGTTTTCAAATGAGCTATTAAAAGATTTGCCTTATCAAAATGCTTACGGCAACGAAAGCAAATATACATTTTGAATTGTACTTTAATTATTGTTGCAGAAATTAATAAGTGAAGTCAAATTAACTGATTTTATATCATATACAGTATTAATTTCATAAAAATATTTTTGGATAAAAATCCATGGAATTTGGCAGGCATTTGGATATTTTAAAGAAAGTGCATGAAAAATTTTAAAACATGTATCTAAACATTCGAGGAACGATTGAAATTTTAACAAATTGTGGTTAAAAAAAACATAAAAACCTTTTATATTGAAATCGGACAAACCCTCCACAATTATAAATGGCTGTATAGTTAATCCAGCATTGTAATACTTTTCAGTGACTGTATCAATTTGCCTTTTATAATCGTTAATTGTCGGTAGTCGCAGTACGAAACTTTCCTGCGAATCAGCTATTGTTACTTTTTTTCGTAATTTACCGTTTCCACATTTAAACCTAGCAGGTGATGGTAAAACTGAATTCAACAGTATTGCGTATATATAATCTTGAGCATCTGCAACCGAAATATAAAATAAATATTACTTTTAATGTTTATGATAAATCAGGAATTAAAATTTACCTATGCTGCTTGCCGTCAAAACATTTGCGAAGAGTTGTTTGCAATGTTCGTTATGAATATTTTTCCCATAATAATTGTAAATTTTTTTCTTAAATTGGTCCCATTTAGAAAGTAGAAGATTGCCTTTCTGTGGATACATAATATCGAAATCAATGTTGACCTAAAACGAAACATTAGTATCCATATACAAATAAATAGCTCATGGCTACTTACCAATTCTGAAGCTCTTGCATCGGACAACTTCGTCCATTCAAGGAGAAATGTATGGCTACTTAAATTTTTTATATCTCTTTGCCGTATGTTAAAAGATCTTTTCCATTTTTCGCAGATCGATCCCCAATCATTACATTCTCTTAGTAAGGAAGCTTTCAATGAATTTTCAACTGATTCATCAATTTCGGGAACATCTTTGTTACAAAAATTAGGAGATGTGTGAGTTGCTGCTTTGCTTGTGCTAGGCTCGGAAATCAAAAGCTTTATTCTTTTGGACTTCTTGTTTCTATACTTGGCATAAAGTTTTCCGCTTGCGTTGTTCTTTCCTTTTCTTGAAATGTAATAATAATCCTAGAAATAAAGACATATTATAAGTTAAGAAACTACATAATCAGATACGTTGTTTATATTGTTAATCTTACCCTCATTTCGTTTTCAAGAGGAAAAACGGAACAAATTTCATCCAATATGCGCATATAGTCTTGAGTGTAAAGAGTAACATTGTTGGTTAAAATATCTTCAATAATTATATTAATTATATCATCTCTTTGCTCGTCACTTAATTTCTTATTAACGCTACTACATTCAAGCGCTAGTTTCCCCTTCGAGGTATGTGTTAACAATTCCGTTAGATCCTATATTAAATAAAAAAACTACATTAACTATGCTTACACAAATATTACTCTTACCTTACCTCTGACAAAATTCCTTTGGCTTTTGAGCAGTTCGAACCTGTAGTGTCGGGAGTACCAGGAGTACTTGCAGGTGTCTCGTTGCGTTTCCACCATTCACCTATTTTAGATGGAACTGACATAGTTTCGTCATCAATCCCGAGCTATTGTTATGACAATATTAATACTGAGTTCAACTCTGTAAAACAAATAATACGTACCTTTCGTTTTTTCCAAGCAAAGAGCTTTTCTCTGAATTCAACACGCAGTCCCAATGGTGGCACTGCTTCCTTTAAATCTTCTTTTTTCAAGTACTGCAAGCTGCGAAATGTTACATGTGATGCTAAAAGAACAAAAAAGAAAATTCTTTGTTAATTACACTGATTAACTGAAAAATTCATTTTTATTTACTTACCTTTTAATTGTTCAAAAAGCGACTCCATATTTATTCCTTTTAAGAACTCCCTTAACATATAATCGTCCTCATTGTTTTCCGCATCTTGACTGCTGCAATGGTTTGTATCGCGAACCACAACAATATTGCCATCGATTTCTAACAACTCACCAATGATATTTTGAGGATCTTGCGAATTATTATTCATTTTCAATAAATTTTTTGCACAATGCGTCCTTTCTCTTTCAATAACACGGAAAAAATGGTAAATATGCAGCCGATTGCACACGAGTAAAAAAAATGACAACGGTGGTGCATGATTCATACACGGTAGTTGCTAAAATGGCAACGATCGTGTACGATTCATGCACGTCGGTGTACAAAGTAACAACGGTGGTGCATCATTATGCAGGTGGTGGTGCATAATTCATACACGACCGGTGTCATATTGACAACGACCGTGTGTGAATCATGCACCATCGTTGTCATTTTTTACTCGTGTGTAATCGGCTGCAATTACCAATATTACAAATGGACAAATTAAGCACGGCTGTTGTTGGTACCGAAAGTTGACCACGTCTCGGTGTCAATTTGAGCACGTTCGTGCACAATTCACCAACAGCCGTTGTTGAAAAATATAACAACGGGTCGTTGCGAAAATGACAACATACGTGCTTGATTTCGCAACGGGATTTTTCCCTCAGTGTATAAACATTTTTCAGACTGAAAAATTGAGCACTAACAAGTAAAAAAGCAGTAAGTGCGGTCGGGCCGAACTATGAATACCTTCCACCATTTGGAACTAATTTATATATTTTTAAACAAATAAAGGCCCTTAAAAATTCTGTTCAAATCTTAAAAATACCGAATATAGCCGTTGGGGTCTATACGAAGACGTGGACCTGCATAGGCAACTTTTTTCATAAGCCATTACAATATTCAAATACAAAATTTGAAAAAAAAAGTTCGGGGAATAATGTAGCTAAAATCATCAAAATACCGAATATGGGGAGATACCGTTATATCGGGGCTATACGAAGACCTGGACAATTTTTTGTCAAAGGCTATGGTACCCAGTAGGAACTTCAAATACGAAATTTCAAACAATTTCGGTGAATATTGTACCTAAAATCGTCAAAATACCGAATATAGGAAGGTATTGATATATGGAGCCTATACCAAGACCTGAACCTGCATATGACAATTTTCTGTCATAAACTGTAGTTCCAATTACGAACTCTAAGGACGAAATTTGAAAGACCTGCGGTGAATAATGTCGCTAAAATCATCAAAATATCGAGTATCGGGAGGTACCGTTGTATGTATGGGCTATACGATATCATGGACCTAAGAAGACATTTCTCTTCCAGGGAGGTAAAATGCTTAGAAAGAACTTTTGGTATGGATTTTTAAGACAATTCCATTGAAAAATGTAGCGACAATCATCAAAATACCTAATGTAGGGAGGTACCGTAGTATGGCGGATATACGATATCGTGGGCCTTAAAGACAATACCCTTCCAGGGGGTGAAATACTCAGAAAGAACTCCTTTTGTGGATTTTCAGACATTTTCATTGAAAAATTTGGCTACAATCATCAAAATACCCCCCGATATTCGGTATTTGGACGATTGTAGCCAAATTTTTCAATGAAATTGTCGGAAAATCTACAAAAGGAGTTCTTTCTGAGTACTTTACCCCATGGAAGAGGATTATCTATAAGATCCACGATATCGTATATCACCCCATATAACGGTACCTCCCTACATTAGGTATCTTGATGACCGTTATCGTTATATGGGGGCTATATGATATCGTGGACCGATATAGCCCATTTTCGAATTTGAACTGCCTGCAAAAAAAAGACTGGTCTGTGCAAAATTTTATCTTTCTATCTTAATTGGTTTTGACTCTACCGCGATTACAACAGACGGACGTACGGACAGGGCTAAGTTGTCGTAGAATTTTACGCTGTTATGTCTAAATTTCTTATTTCGATGAGATACAAACGGTATAACGAACATAATATACCCTCCATATTATGTATGGTAGAGGGTATAAAATGGCCTAACAAGAAGTGTTGGAATGGATTTAAAATTTTAAGGTGGAATTTTCTCTGACGATGTAGCGGGCACTTGCTAGTACTCCTATAAAATTCAAGTTTATAAAAAACTTTTTGTCATTGCTTTGTAATGCCAAAAGTGGCTCATAAAAATATCAAAAAAATAAAGAGTACATATTTCAGGCCCATAGTATAATAAGGGAATTCTACATTTCTAGCCAGGTATGGGAAGTTTTCATGTTTACATCAGTTTTTCCTCGAGTGTCTATTTTAACTTATTTTTTATCTTTCTTCTTGAGTTCACATACCAACTGATGATGTTTGAATGTGTGTTCGTTCGTTTGTTTTTTTTTTTTGTTTTGTTCTTCTGTTAAATGTCATTAACGCATTGTCAATTTAAACGTTCGGTAATTAAACGTAAACTCAAAGTGAATGCTGCTACAACAGAGACTTTGAAGCGCTGGAGACAGACAGACAGGCAGAGTGAGAGAGAGAGAGAGAGGACCACAAAGATTTAATAGTCATTTAATCGTGTATAAACATTATTGACACATTTCCCCAATGCTCCGCAAAAAAAGAACTTGCATGGCCAAGTACTGAGGACTACAACGTAGACCCGAAGGGGGAGTTGGTTGGGAGCTGCTGTTCTATTGGATTTAAAGAAAACCAGCCAAAGACAAGCGACAACCATGATGGCATGTTGCTGTTTGAAAGAACAGGAATGAGCAATGCCGCTCACCATTCCAAAGCAATTAATGTTAATCCCTGGACAACACGCTTATCGCTAATATGCATTTAAAACTTAAATTCCTTAATCAAGGCCAAGGAGAGGATGAAATAAATAAACAACGATGGTCGGCCAGCCATGGTGGTGCTGTGTGGCAGCAAAACGAGAAATATCAAATGCCCATTCCAGACAGGCAAGAGAAAGCACAAAAGGGGGCGGGGCGAAAAGTGGAGAGGGAGAACGGCATGGAATATGCATTTTTAGCATATTGATATGAGACACGTCATTATTGTGTAAAAATAATTAAATTTTTGCCATCATATGGTCGTTGTTTGTCGCCATCATGTGTGTGTGTACGTGGATGCGTGCATGTGGTGATTTGTATGTCGGTATTCCGTGTTTGTATTTTAAGCCTATTTTGTGCATGCTGTTGCACGGTCATCAAAATTCACAAACAACATGAAATGTCCACTTTTGTCCAGCCAACAACATTTCACACTGACATTTGCCATGGCATTGTCGTCATATGCACATTCAAATGAGAGCTCACTCTCTCACTCTCTCTCTAAGTATTCTAGCAATGATGGCCAAAAAACCCTCACACACAAACGTGTATACAAATGAAATTGGTGACATTTATTTAAGAGCTGTTGAGCGGTTTTTGAAATAAAGGTGACCAGAGGGAAGATTTGTAAATAAAGAAAATACTGAAGGCCGTTGAAAGCTAAAATATATTCACACATTCTACGTAGATAGAAGACCTTCTATGGGTCTCTCATAGTCAGAATATTTTTAAAAGCTAGTCTACACATAGCCCATATTTGCTCACTTTCACTCGGGAGAAAAACTTGCTCGCGAGCAGGATTGCTCGAAGAGTGCGAGTTTTTTACGGAGTTTACTCTTTTGTTTCAAAAATTAAAGCGACAGCAAACGATTTATGTGTACGTGTGTGCGTAACGGCAAACGGGTTTTGATGTTGCTGTGTCCTGTAGAAGTGGAGGTGAAGAGAGGGGGAAGAGAGTGGTGTGTGTTTGTGTAAACAAAAAATACACCTACATTGAAATACAACTACGGCATGGCAAAAGCTAAAATAGCTCTCGGCAAGAGTAAAAACTGCTCGTTTTTGAACGAATTTAGCTCCAGCGCTAAAATACACAAAACTTATGTGGCGAAACCGACAAATGGAGTTTTACTCGTTTTGTTTTTTAATCCCAGGAGTGCTCCGGATTGACTTCGAGCGAGTTTCATTCTTTCCTCGAATTCGAGCGAGTGTTTCGGAGGTCTGATTCTACATTCTACTGATCTTTTATAGATGGTATTATATTCCTAGAAGTTCATGTGGCTATCCAAAAGACTTCTAGACTGTTTAAGGCCTTTATAAGAACTGTTTAATATAGAAGACATTAAAGGGGCCTAGATAGCTTTCTATCCCTAGAAAAGTTTTATTAGGACCCTATTCAGACAGAAGATCTTGAAAAAGTCTTCAATCCGCGATCAAGACATATATTGTATCTACAGAGGTCCATGGATAGGGCGCCTTCATGAGGTTTTCTGTGGATAAACGTTCCTTGAAGCCCCATAAATGTTAGAAAAACCTTCATGAGGTTTTCTATCCTTAGAAGACAGGTTCAAAACCTTATAGGCAGAGAAAATTTATTGAAAGCCTTTTAGATAAATAAGTCCTTCTAGATCAGTTGGAAGTAGTTTGGTCACGTAAGGGCTTGTGGGTGTCCTCTGTCATTGGGGATATTTTTAAACCCATAAGATCCTTCTCAAGGCATCCTAAGGAGGTTCACTTCTTAGAAGAGAACCGTTCTAGGTCTTATTAAAAAAGTCAAGTTTTTGGACGGATTATTTTCGAATAAAAATTTTTGAAAATATATCAAAAAATAAATTCACATTTAATGATCATTGAAAGAATTTTTTTTTCAAAAACGAAAAAAAAAATACTTTTTTTAACCCATTTTAAAAGTCCCTAAAATTTAAAACAAGATTATGAGATTTTTTTTATCAAAACAGTCCTTAAAAATTATGCATAAAAACGCGAGTTCAGAGAGTACTTAAAAATTTAAAAAAAAATCACGATTCCATCTTCGAGAATCCCCGATTTATTTCCAAACTTAGGAGAGATATAAATATTAAAAATTGTGAACCTTTTTGGGGGAGGTCCTAGAAGTGGTGGGCCAATGTTTACCATCTCCACGCCAGGTTTTGCGTTATTTTAAAAATTGGGATGAAATTTGAAGATAATCGGATGGTTATTTTGCTTATTGGGGCAGGTATCACAATGAGTGGATGTATTCCCACTTCACACTAGATCTTGTCTTGATAGAAATATTGCGATTATTTAAAATGTTGACCCGTTGTAAGGGAGGTAACAGTAGGTGTGTTCACTCCAGAACTTGTGTTGACAGAAATACTGGGATGTGCCGAGTTCGAAAGAAATCGAAAGCTCATTTCGATTTTTATGAGCTTCGTGATTATTCTAAATATTAACCCATTGGTCGGCAGGTACCAGAAGGAGTGATCCGATCTATATTTTTTTCATACCAGACCTTGTGTTGGAAGAAATGTTAGGAAGCCCGAAATTTGAGGATAATCGGAGTCTTATTTCGTACTATATATGGGCGTTATAATTATTAAAAATTTAGATCCTTTGTGGGGGTGGTACTTGATGGAG